CATTCCTGGGTTGCTTAAGTATCTGCCTAAGACTCCAACAATGTACGCAATATCTGGTCGCGTACAAACTTGAGCATACATTAGACTCCCTACAGCTGAAGCATAGGGAATCTTTTGCATTTCTTGAATCTCAAGGTTTCCTTTTGGGCACTGATTGAGACTGAACTTGTCTCCTTTAGCGACAGGGGTGTCAATTGGTCTACAATTCTGCATGCCAAATCTTTTAAGTACTTTATCAATATAGCTTCTTTGTGACAATCCAAGAATACACTGAGAACGATCTCGGTGAATCTGAATTCCTAAAACAAATGAGGCATCACCAAGATCTTTCATCTCAAAATTAATTGATAGAAATCTCTTGGTTTCGTGCAACATGCTTATATCATTTGTGGCAAGCAGTATGTCATCCACATACAAAATCAGAAAAATATGCTTTCTCCCACTAAATTTATGATACACACAATCATCAATTGCATTCATTTCAAAACCAAACGATAGAATCACTTGATGAAATTTGTGATACCATTGACGGGAAGCTTGTTTGAGCCCATAAATAGATTTTGACAGTTTGCAAACCATATTCTTTGAGTCTCCTGACACAAAGTTTTCTGGTTGCACCATATAGATTGTTTCATCAATGTCTCCATTGAGAAATGCGGTCTTAACATCCATTTTATGAAGCTCCATATCATAATGAGCAACAAGTGTCATGATTGTTCTAAAAGAGTCCTTCGTTGAAACCGGAGAGAAGGTCTTTTTATAGTCAATCCTTCTTTTTGAGTATAACCTTTAGCTACAAGGCGAGCTTTATACCTCTCCACATTACCCTTTGAATCCCGTTTGGTTTTAAAAATCCATTTGCAACCTATGGGTTTCTTTCCTTCTGGCAATGAGAAGTTCCCAAACTTTATTGTCTTGCATAGACTTATACTCCTCATTCATTGCTTCAATCCATTTTTCTGAATTGGAACTTTGTATAGCTTGACGAAAGTTGATAGGATCATCTTCCATCATACTATTATTTTCCTCATGTTCCTGAAGAAATACAATATAATCATCTAAAATAACTTTTCTTCTTCCCCAAGGGGATCGCCGCAAAAGCACTTGTTC